CGCTACAAACCGCTGGATAAGGTCTACAGCGACTTCATGGTACTCAGTCAACAAGGGCTTGACGGGGAGCAGTACACGCTTACCTTCATCGACGCTTCCACGCGCTACGTCTGGGCCATCAATACCGATTGCAGATCACTGGCCTTTGAATGCTTCATTGCGTGGATGAAGCGGGCTGAGCGACAGTCTGGGCTAAAGCTAAAGGCCTGGCAGACAGACGGAGCCCTGGAGTTCTTCTCGGACAAGTTCAAAGAGCTCTTCAAGCAGAAGGGGATCGAGCACCTGGTGTCTCTGCCCTACGCCCACCAGCAGCAAGGTGTAGCAGAACGGACAAACAGGAGCCTCGCCACGCGGATGAGGGCTCTGATGAAGCAGTCGGCCATCCCAACCAGATATTGGCCTTTTGCAATGAATCACGCTGTTCGGCTGCACAACTTGCTGTCTTCGCGAAGCCTCAAGGACAACAACTCTCCTTACCGGGCTTGGACGGGCAGAAAAGCAGATACACGCCTACTTCGGGTGTTCGGGTGCATGGTACAGTACAGACCCCATACTGCGCGGACGGGAAAATTTGCTGACCGGGCACGATGGGGCATCCATCTCGGAATCGAAAAAGAATTCAAGGCGTGGATCGTACTGGACTACGCGACACACGAGGTGACAAAATCACGTGACTGCATCTTCTACGAGAAGCTGACTCTGCCCCTTTTCAAGGAGCACCAGGAAGCTGACAAACTGCTCGAGAGGCTCTTCGAGGGCCACCGCAGCTTCGCCACGTCACACGACGAAGCTGACCTGGCCGAGGATGCAGACGCACCTGATGTCACCCAGATGGACTCTGCTCCGAACATCCCCCTTACGAGCCAACTCGGAACTCCGACATTCGTGCCCGTACACCAACCCGATCCGGATGATATAACACGCGAAGCTCACAACTACAACAGCGAAACGCGCCGATCACCCAATGCCGAGTCACCACAACCCAACCTGTCGCAAGACACCCTGCCCTCGGCAACGACAGTGATGACGACGTGGTCGAAGTTACCAGCTCCCACGACTACGACCGTCTTCTCTACGAAAAGACCAACGAAACCGGTCTTCGGGTTCTCGGCCTCGCCGTTGCAGTTCGCCACACCTCGCCCAAGGAACCCACCACCGTCCGCCAAGCCCTGTCTGGCCCCGACAGCGACAAATGGAGAGCAGCCATGGCCGCCGAAATCGCGTCGCTGAAGAAGCGCGGCACCTGGAAGCTGGTTCCACAGTCATCGGCAAAGGGGAGGAAAACTCTCAGCGGCAAATGGGTCTTTTGCATCAAAACTCTCGCCGATGGCTCGATCGACAAGTACAAGGCGCGCTGGGTGGTGCGGGGATTCGAGCAAACTCACCTGGTGGACTTCACCCTCACCTACGCTCCAGTCGGCCGTCACACTTCGGTGCGCATCCTCATCTGCATCGCCGCCGTCAAACAGCGACCGCTCCGGCAAATCGACGTCGGAAGCGCCTTCCTGTACGCTCCCGTTGATGCCATCATCTTCGTCGAACAGCCCCACGCATTCGAAGAAAGCGACGGCGCCGTGTGCCTCCTCCAAAAGTCTCTCTACGGAATCAAGCAAGCTCCTCGTCTGTGGCAGCAGTACCTGCATTCCGTCCTCCTTGAGCTCGGCTTCACTCAACTGCCGCACGATCTCGGAATGTACAGGCGGGAGTCGCGCGGAAAGTTCATCCTCCTCGTCGCCTACGTCGACGATCTTCTCTACACCGGGGACGACACGGAGCTACTCGACCAATTCGAGGCCGACATCAAAAAGAAGCTTGAAGTCACCGTCAATCACAACGTCACCCAATTCCTCGGCCTCAACGTAACCCAGTCCGCCTCCTCCATTCACCTCTCCGCCGCCAAATACGCCGAAACACTCGCGAAGCGGTTCGCCATCGCTCCCATCAACCTCACTACCCCCTACCGCACTCCTCCTCCTAACCACGAGCCCGACACCACGCCACTCTCTCCTGGCGACCTTCGTCTCTATCAGCAGCAGCTCGGCTGCCTCCTGTTCGCCGCCGTCACGTGCCGGCCCGATCTCTCCTACGTCGCTAGCCAGCTCGCACAGTATCTGAAGCGACCTGAAGGGGAGAATCTACTGGATCTACGCCGAGCACTGCAGTATTTCATCTCCACTCCCGACGTCGGCCTCACCTACGAAGCCAACCTCACCGCTACTCTGCAGCTTCATGGCTACGTGGATGCCGATCATGCTGGAGATGTTGATAACAGACGCTCCCGTACAGGATTCATTTTCCAACTCCAACCTGCTGGACTCATCTCTTGGAACTCCCAGAAACAGGAACTCATCGCTCTTTCGTCAGCTGAAGCAGAATTCATCGCAGCTAGCGCAGCTGTTCGCGAAGGTCTGTACCTGATGGAGCTCCTGCAGGAGGCGAAAGTGACGATGAACGGGCACTTCACGTTACTCTGCGACAATCAGAGCGCGATAAAGATCGCGAACAAGCCCGGCTTCGTCAACCGCACCAAGCACATCGGCCTTCGCTACTTCTTCGTGAAGGACGAAATCGACAAGGGGAAAGTCAAGCTGACGTACTGCCCGACCGGTGACATGGCAGCCGACTTCCTGACGAAGAAACTGCCACGTCAGCAGTACCAGCACTGCGCCAACCTCTGTGGGATCACCAAGAAATCCCACGTGGCCCACCTTCTGGAATGAAGGGGAGTGTTGGAATAACCGAAAGGTTATAAAGGCATTCCCGAAGATGCTCCTCTGTACTAGTACCGCATTAGCTCATATAGAGCACGCGGAATCTCGAGGGTCACCCGAAGGTCAACCGTCTAAAGATAGTCAACGGTCGTGACCCTTGACGATCCAGCAACCACGCGACAGTTAACAGACTGCAACACGGTAACTGTCGAGAATAGCAATAGTCGTGGTTACTGTAGCTATGTAATACAGTTAATAAGGGAATGTACCCCTCAGAGTACATGGCTAGATAGTTCGCTATTTAATTTCTTGTACTCCTACCTTCTAATCATCTTGTTCTCTTTCAACTATTACTCAACAAGGTCACTACAGAGACTTCACTGTCTCCTTTCAGGCTTAACACATTCTATCCTATCCACTGATCCTTTGGTTGTATCAGCAAGTGTTCGGTTGGCATTTCTTGGGTTTAGATTGATGGCATCAATCGAGATTTATTTTCACAGAAGCTGGGAGGCAGTTGCTTTGAAGGATCGCGCCCACATATGATTGGCTGGCATATTTGACCAGTGCACTTTTGATTGGCCGCATCACTGATCCACCGTGTGGTGCGGGACCTCGAGGCCGCATGGTGCGGCGGATCAGAAAATGGGCACTTTGCCCGAGAAACTGGGTTCGGAAAAAATGCCTTGGGTTGAAAACGCCAGCGGAAAAAAGGGCTGTATCTCTCAACGGAATCGGGAGTGGCGCTCCGTTTTGCCCGGGGTGACGCTCGGGGGTGACGCTTTCGGGAGCGTCACCCTGACCCGGGCAGAAAAAAACTAAACCCCGAAGCGACCGGCATGCCATTCGGGAGCCTCAACCCTAAAATTTTAGGGTTGAGGCTCCCGAATGGCATGCCATCCGTCTGGGGTTTAGTTTTTTTGCCCCGGGCAGTTTGTCGTCTTTTGGCGTCGTCCTTGTCGTATCCTCGCCCGCTGCTTTCCGTTGAGATATACTAGGCTGTTCGGTTGGCATTCCATTAATGTCAGGTTCGGCGTAGTCCGCTTATATCGAGCCTTCATAACCATTCACGCGCTTATCAAAGAAGGTTCCAGGGTGGTCGTTACACTGTAGCCCATCCCCCTCGCCCGGTTTTTTTATGCCTGCCAAACTGGGCCTTGGTATCCGAGTTGCGGGCAGTGTATGTCCATTGGTAACTTCCAGAATACTTTCGTTAGAACCGAGTTTTCGCCAGGATAAACTTCTGCTCTCAGCCTGCTTTGTGCATTCTCCACCACACACTGCAACAGCAATTTCCCACCGGCCATTTTCAGGTGCATGCCACTCAGTCTAGGAACACTATTCAAGTGCATGCCATGTTATTGGGCAGGTGTGTACACTTTACGCGGCTTAGAATTTTGATATCGTAAAATTAGAGCCTTCCCAAGATTCGTTTAAAATTAGCACAAACAGTCGAGAATAGATGCGATTCCGGATTACGCAAATCGAAATCGGAATGGTTGGCTCTCGACACTGCATTTTCTGACGTTACCAGAAGCAATCATTGCATGTTGCCCGATTTCGACGCGAATTCCTGCTTCGCCCTAACTCTTTTTGAACAAACTTAAATGCTAGATCAGCTGTACTGTTTATGCACGCCCTAGAAAAATTTGTTGATTTGCCATGCGCAGCGTCCGTCAACCGCGTAAACAGTACAGCTGATCTAGCATTTAAGTTTGTCAAAAAAGAGTAAGGGCGAAGCAGGAATTCGCGTCGAAATCGGGCAACATGCAATGATTGCTTCTGGTAACGTCAGAAAATGCAGTGTCGAGAGCCAACCATTCCGATTTCGATTTGCGTAATCCGGAATCGCATCTATTCTCGACTGTTTGTGCTAATTTTAAACCAATCTTGGGAAGCCTGTAATTTTACGATATCAAATTTCTAAGCCGCGTAAAGTGTACACACCTGCCCAATAACATGGCATGCACTTGAATAGTGTTCCTAGACTGAGTGGCATGCACCTGAAAATGGCCGATTTCCCACCGTCAATTCTCACTTGCGACTCAAAATCAGTTCTAGCTCTCCTTGTTCTTGATGACTGCTTGCTGCATGCGTGACGCTTGTGCTCTCTCCCCTGACCCGAGCGATCCCAGTTTCTGCCTTCGCTGCTCCTAACCTCCGTGATTGCCGCTTCGCCAATTAGGTCTGCTGATTGAATTTGCGCGGCTGGCGGTCGTTACGGCAGCTGCGCGCCGAGCCGCAGCGTGCCGAGTCGCAGCGTGCCGAGGCGCCTTACATCGAGGCTTCATGGGGTCCGTGCTGGGTCGCATCGAGGTTGAGACGCCGCGATTCACGGTGGAGGAGAAGACTGATGCATTCGAGATTCGACGATACCCTCCGCAGATGGCGGCGGAAGTGACTTACGACGGCGACCACTTCCAGGTGCGGTTCAGACCGGTGCTTTACGGTGCATCCGGGTGCATACCGTGCATCACTTCTAGGTGATTGACCAAAATATCGTCCTTCAGATGGTTCCTCCGTCCTCCGACAACTCTTACCGTCTGATTATCCTTCTATTATTTCCCTTTTCCTTCCTATCTTATCCGAAAAAAGGCAGAATTTGTCGTATCTTCCGGCTTTTGGAGCAAGAGACGGCGGCTGAAGGGACTAAGAATTACCTCTTCCAGAAAGTTAGTTTCAGACCCAGCATATAATATGGTTCCGACTAACCATTTTCATATAGTCAATTTAACGAGCAGGTTTTTTTTTTTGTTTGTTTGTTTGTTTGTTTGTTTGTTTGTTTTTTTTTGTTTGTTTGTTTTTTTTTTTTTTTTTTTTTTTTTTTTTTTTTTTCCTTGGCAGGGTATAATGAGGTCCAGGGCCAGGAGCTAATAGTAAAACTGTTTCGAATTGTGTCTGGTTTTGCCTTTCTTGCCCTCCCATGCCACTCGTGCATCTCCCTCCCTCAGCGCCACTATAGTGCTTCTCCCTTCCCCACCCCTCCCTCTTCCTTCCTTTCCCTCTCCCCCGAGCGTGATGGCTCCAGAAACATTTCCCTTCCCCAGCCCTCCCTCTTCCTTCCTTTCCCTCTCCCTCTGGCAGGCTGCATTGAGGTGCTCTGGGCTCAATAGTTGACAAAACAGGCGCTCCTTCAATCTATGAGCCTCCTTAAAGAAAAAGAGTCCGACAGGAACGGTTTTTTTTCCCTAGCAGGATACATCAGGGTGTTGTGTTGGGTTCAAAAGATGATAGCAAAGCTTATCCTTCATCTGCGTCTGGTTTTCCCTCCCTGCCATCCCTTCCCTCCTTACTCCCTTCCCCACCCTTCCTCCCTGCACAGCGTGTTGGCTCTAGAAGCAGTTTCTTTGCTCTCGCAGGCTACATCGAAGCGCTGGGTCCAGTAGGTGATAGCTAAGCTGCTCCTTCAACTGTATCTGGTCATCCCTCCCTCACCCCCCTTCCACTCCCATTCCCTGCACAGCGTGTTGGCTCCAGAAGCGGCTTCTTTGCCCTAGCAGGCTACATTGGGGTGCTGGGTCCACCAGAGAACAGAAAACCTGTGCTAGGCGAGGGAACAGGAGGGGAGGAGCGGCAGAAAATAGCCATGACTGCTCCTGTCATCACAGAAACAAGCGCTACCACTGCTGCGGATGGGGATGGTGCTGTTGCTGGTTCTGCTGCTGGTGCTGATGGAGGTGGTGGGGAGGGGGGTGAGAGTGGTGAGAGTGGTGAACCGCAGAAAATCGCCATGACTGCTCCGGTGGTAACGGAAGTGGTAACACCTGTCGCAGGAGAAACAGGTGCTGGCGAATCGACGACAGCAGCAAGCAAAACGACAATGCAGTTTCTGCTGCCTGCATCGTTCACACCAGAAAACACCCCCATTCCCACCAACCCAGCCGTGCGCGTGCGACAGGTTCCTGCTCGCCTGATTGGTGCGCTTACTTTCTCGGGTCTCACGACGAATGCTGTGCTGGAGCTCAAGTCACGAGAGCTGCGAAGTGCGTTGGAGAAGGCAGGGTACGGCATTGCTGGGGAATATGTGCTCGCCCGTTACAACGACCCGTTCACGATTCCGTGGTTTCGCACGAACGAGATTCTGTACCCGTTAGAAGAGGTTCCGAAAGAGAGTGGTTTATAAACATGTGACAGACAACTTAATCAGCAAGTTGTCGTCATTACCACTTGCTCCAGCAGAGAGTCGTGGACATTCAAGGAAAAAGATATGTACATCAGGGACCCCACTACACCAGTACAGCATTATCCTTCCACAGGGTACAAGATCTCGTTTGTCCTCATAAACGGCAGAGTGAATGGCGGATTGTACCGCCCAACCACGTAGTCCCCATAAACCTTATACCCAGCTGCTTCTAGCGCCACCCGCAGCTCCTGCGACTTGTGCTGCAGCACAGATTGCGTTGTGAGGCCCGAGAAAGTGACAGCACCCAGGAGGCGCGGCTGCAGCTGATGAATGGTGACTGCCGGGTTGGTGGGGATGGGCGTGGTTGCTGGTGTGAGTGATGCTGGCAGGAGGAACTGCATCGTGGTTTTGCCTGGTGCTGTTGGGGCTGTGGAAGGGGAAGGACGGGAGGGAGGACGGGAGAGTCGAGGGAATGTTTGGTTAGGAAGAAAAAGCACTGCTTCAGGTGCTTCTCAGGAAATGATAATGTGAAAATATAACCAGTGTTTCCACATATAAATTGTGCTGTAATGGCTCTGCATGTTCCTAGGGAAAGTGCATGTGCCTGTCGGTGTGAAGAGAGCCTAACGATGAACTCATCTCTGTGGAAGTGCTTGATTGCTGGCAAATATGCGAGCAGTTCTGAGTCGACTCAAAAGTCACGGTGCATGTGCCTGGTGGTATGAAGGCAGCTTAGCAACTCATTTCTCTGTGGAAGTGCATGATTGCTGGCAAATATGCATGCACTGGCGAAACTGCCACGTCGTCCATACCTGTCACCACAGGAGCAGTCATATCGATCTTCTCACCAGCAGCAGTGCCTCTCCCATCTCCTCTCCTGCCATCTCCTCCTCCTTCGCCTCCTCCAGCATATGTGAGAACAGGAGCAGTCATGGCAATCTTCTCACCAGCAGCGCTGCTCTTCGCTCCCCCATCCCCTCCTCCTCCATCTCCTGCTCCACCCTCTGCTACAGCGTGTGTCAGAACGGGAGCAGTCATGGCAATCTTCTCACCAGCAGCACTGCTTTTCTCTCCCCCATCCCCTCCTCCTTCATCTCCTGCTCCCCCCTCTGCTACAGCGTGTGTCAGCACGGGAGCAGTCATGGCAATCTTCTCACCCCCCTCCCCTGGGCTGGCCGAATTGGCAGGTGCAGGTCGGTTCTGAGGGGCAGAGAGCGCGCCTATGTACCCTGCTAGCGCAGAGAAGGCTGTGTTGATGCCGTTCTGAGGGGAAAGCAAGGGGTAGAGAGGGGTTCACAGGTTTTGAGAGCGTTGTGAAGGGCAGAGACCGCGCCCATGCATACTGCTATCGTGGGGAAGGTTGAGCTGTGATGTCGCTCTGAGGGAGACGCAAGGGGTAGAGAGGGGTTCACAGGAGTTGGGAGGAATGGAGAGGAGAAGAGGCCGCGCCTACGTACCATGCTAGCGGGTAACAACACTGTGTTCTTTTGCATAGACACGTATCGGGAGCACTTTGATGCATCGTGATGCACCGGACCTGGTGATCGCCGTTGTGAGTCACTTCCGCCAACATCTGCGGAGGGTATCGGCGAATCTCAAACGCACCCATCTTTGCCTCCACCGTGATGAACCGCGATGCACCGAGATGCACCAGAAGGCACCGTACTGCACCGTACCTGGTGGTCGCCGTCGTACATCACTTCCGCCACCATCTGCGGAGGGTATCGCCGAATCTCAAACGCGTCCGTCTTCGCCTCCACCGTGAATTGCGGCGTCTCCACGTTAATCCGACCCAGGACGATCCCCATTGGTGCGACTACAATACCTGTTAGTACTACTATCACTATTACCGTAGACTACTCTTTGAAGTCAACTGATAAAAATCCACCCGCTGCACCTGTCACTACTATCACTACAACGCGTTGAGGACCTCTATGTGTGCTACACGCTGCGGTGATAAGCCGGCGCAAGATGCTGCAGACTGCCAAATCTCGTTCAATGTCTGTGCTGCGGTGACTTTTGAGTCGACTCAAAAGCTGGCGTGAGATGCTGCAGACAGGCAAATCTGGCTCAGAGTCTGTCTGTGCTGCGCTCTGATACAAAATATCGAAAGCTCACATCTGGTGTTATCTCGGCAAGAGTGTCAGTGGCAGCTCAGGACAGCAGCAGCTATCGACTACCAACTTAGCGGTGGACAGCGGTGCACAGCGGTACACTATCACAGATTCCTCGCAACGGGTTGTTTGCTCCGACGCTTTACTACAGTAAAACGTAGCAGTGGAATATCACACATTCACAATCGCGTCTCCGGTGCCGAAGATGATGGCTGCCTTCGCACACACGCAAAGTAAAGAAAAACGAGCTACCATGGTTCGCAAAGTACCGTCGGCCTTCCCGTGCCACGTCGTCGTCTAACGTCCGCGCGCACAGCTAGCTGTCTGTCTGGCTTCCGTGCATGTACACCCCGCCTCGAAGTATTTATGGCTACCGTCCTCGCTATTATTCTTACACAGCACTGAAAGTGTTGAGTAATGGTTTGCGGTTCAAAACGGTTTATATGTAGCTAGCAAAGGAGCTCCTCTGACTCGCCACCGTCTGTACACATTACAGAATGCGTTGCGCTTTCGACGAGACTCCCAGGCTGACGTCATCTACTAAGAACTACGACGGGTTATTCTGAAAAGGAGTACACTTGCCACGAGACATAGCGATTACAAGTAGAGAAACATTGATGTTTCAGGAGGCATCACAGTTGATATTCTTTATTCCAAACCTAGACGGAAGGCGTGGGGTAGGAACAGGTGAAAGACCCGCCTCCTCGATTTCCGAAGCAGTGAAGCTTGGGGAGAGCGGGCTAGATGGAGATCTGGGAGGATTCATCGACGATAGCAACGCGGGATTAGCAGCCCGCCTCAGAACCGCACTCCCCAGTGCCTCACAAGGTTCTCCAACTCCGAATCTCACAACATTCGCCTGTACACCACCATCACGAGATTGTAAAGCTTGTGTGTGTTGCATATTGGCTTTGTGGTTGCATCGATCTTCCTGGCTCCACCCAGAGTTGGGATTCATGCCATCGTACCGGTTGCTCCAAGGCTCATTCTCCTCAACGCGATAACACCGTGAGTTGAGGCCTCCACGGCCAAGCTTGACCTCGCAGGGTGTGCCATTCCCTTCCATGCTACACACATTCCCCTCCAACACAAACCGCGTGCCATGTGATCTCTCACGAGGGGAAAACTGGCATGCTTCAAATTTCAACTCGGATCGAGAAGCCAATGCAGAGGACACAGCGTGGGCCACTGAATCTCCTGAAGACTGCAAGCTACCCAGTGGTCCATGTGCTAGGCGGGCAGGTAAATCACCAAGTCGGTTCCCACGTGCATTGCCAGGTCCCAGGAGCGCACACGGAGCAGTGGGGGGTCGGGAAAGAGCAGTGAAGCTTCCTGAAAAGTGGTAACTTTCAACCAGCTCGTTTGCTGCCTGCAGGGCCATGGCTCGCACTCTCGCTGCTGCCTCGGTTGCCACATCAGCAGCTTCAGCTGCTGATGACATGTGGCCAATCACAGCACAGCTAGCCCGACCACCAGCGCCGCCACCGCTGTTGCTGCTGCTGCTTCTTGTCACACTTCTGTCGGCACCCCATGTCTCTGCTCCCCATGCGGGTGCCTTTGCTGCCACTGCCTTCTCCTCCTCGTCGTCGTCCTCCTCCTCATCGTCTACCTCTGTTGGCACATCCTCTGCAGTCCAACAATCCGCTCCACCAGATCTTGTGAGAAACTCTTGAGAAGATTGGAATCTTTCGAAAACCGGTCCACTAGGTACGGTACTGCTGCTATCTCCACTGATTCCCCATGGGAGGTCACACTCCTGTTGCTTGGCATCAAAATCATCACCACCGTCAGACGAAGCAGCAGCAACATCGCCATCATCACCATCATCACCACCCTCTGCTAGCAGGGGGGAAGAAGGACAGCCGTGCCTCAGCTGCTGCTCCTCTTCCCTCCAGAGATTCACCTCTGTTGCTTCGAGCACTTCTCTTGGCAGGGATATGGACTTGCCAAAAGCAGCGTCAGGGCGGCTTGCATCCCTGCTGGTGCTCAGATCCATCCTTTCCCGAAGAGTGCTGCAGGTGGATGCGGTATGGTGGGATGCAGTACAGTGGGAAGCAGTATCGTGGGACATGGTGCGGTTGGACGCGGTACCAGGGCGTGGCACACGCTGCACGTGGTAATTACCACTGCGGCAAACCACATGGTACGTGCTTCCCAGTCGCAACATTTCTTCAGGCGGAAGGGTGCTGCAACACGATGTGACTGAAACGAGGGCTGTGCCAGAGGGAAACCCTTGCAGGAGCGCTCCTGCAGTGACTGGTTCGGTGAGAATGTGGGCCCCACCGTCCGGAAGGAGTAGGATGATCGTGGCTGGGGAGAATGGCTCTGGCTCTTGATTCGCTGTTGGAACGCGCTGTGAGGTTTGAGGCGATGTTGGGAAGAATTGTGATTTTTGAGACGCTGATGCAAAAAGGTGAGGTTTTTGAGGCGGGGAGAAGTTGCGGGGGGAGAGTAATCGAGAGACGAAGCCGCTCGTGCGGCCAGAAGTGAGAATGGTTAAACGCCGGCCAAAACGGCTGCTCCTGCTGCCGCTGCTAACACTGCTGCTGCTGCTGCTGCTGCTGCTGCTAATGCTGCTGCTGATGCTGATGCCAGTAATGCTGCTGCCGCTGCCACTGCTTCTACTGCTGGTCCCCACACATTGAGGTTTTGTGCTTGTGGAGGTGCCAATAGCAGCAGCACCAGCACCAGCAGCAACAACCGTACCAAGAGTCGCAGGTACAATGGGGAGAAATGAGCGGCAGCAGCTCACTGCAGTGCCGGCCAGCGGAGAATCATCTTCAGCATTGGAACTTCGCCACGTGGCAGCATCGCAGATCTGCTTAGTTGACCGTGAAACTGGGACCGAGAGCGACAGGTCCTCAACTGAAACCAGCTGAGGATTCTCCTCGACAGGTCGGCTCATTTTCTCCTGACGCGTAATGGAAGTATCCAGGTGAGACCACAGAAAGGCTTCACGCTTTCGACTTGCGATTTGAGGCTTCAAGCTTACGACTTGAGACTCGAAACTCGAAGCTTATACTTCTGGCTCGTAAGACAGCCCGTGGGGTTTGTTAATTTATTGGAGATTTCGTGTTACTAAGTTACGTTTAGGTTCGCCGTGATTCCACGACCCAGATGGGGTGGAACACAAGAGGAGGCTGGGGAGGTTGAGGAGGGTGGGGAGAATGAGGAAGTTGAGAGAGAACAGACCGTCATGTACTAGAGAAAAAAGGCGGGAAACCTTTATGGAGAAAGGAACGCCCTTGCTGAAAAAAAGCAGCGAAACGGTAAGAGGAGGGCGGCGTCTTCGTTCGCAAAACCTCCTCGGAAAGACACGTGGTAGATACGCCAGATACGGCTACCGCCCGCGTCGTTAGTACTAGTTATTATCGCCGCTCTCGCGTGCACCCTACGCCCAATATTAGGAGCTCTATTTTCGATGCCCCAGATCAAATCTCACAGTCTCAGTTCTCCAGGTGCGCTGAAGGGACGGCACGGAATCCGTACCAAGGTTGCACTACCGAGCCTGCTACTGCCGAACCGGCTATCGAGCCTGCACAGACGACACTCCGATAGAAGGGCTGGCGCAGCGGCGATGCATTAGAGCGCGACGGAAGAGCGCATCCGACCATACTAAAGCGCTAGCGGCGGCGGCACGGTTGGTTGTACTACGAGCTTATTGCACCGTCCGGTAGAACTGGTCAAAGCACACCTTCGAAGTAAGCGAAAACCTTGGAGAAAAAACGGGAGTGTCCGACAAGGGACGAGGATTATGAGAAGAACGAGCGAAAGGGACCTGAGCGCGCAAGAATCCACAAGTCCGACTGGCTAGCCCATGCAGTCGAAAATGAAACGGAATTACCCGCCAGCAGCATGTGCCATGAACTTGGGATTTGTGGGGTTGGAGTTGTTTCTGGGTCACGTCTCGCTCGACTCCATTGGGCTTGTCTAGCTGGTAAGACAGCATTTCTTGTCACTGTTTGAGACTTCGCCAGGTGTCAATTCAAAATACGCATCCACATCAATGATTGGTCGTCACTGTTCGCTCCTGCCCAGCGACGCACCTACGCTTCGCGTCGCGCGGTGCTGCTCTAGCGAAGGATCCATGGCTTGCTGTTGGTTGCGTGCGACTTCGTGTGTGTGACGGAAAAAGGCGGACTTCACCTGCTTTCCTCGTAGGACGGTGCTTTGCTGACGGGCTATGGCTGACGGATTTGAATTATTTAGGGATTGGATGGCTTTTGATTTGTTAGCTTGGGGGAAGCGGGATGTGGGTGAGGGTGTCGGTGTAGGGAACAACACCTACGGAATGTCTCCAACCTAGCTTTATCACGCAACACCGTACCGTATGCTGTATTCGGTGACTTGGCGACAGCATTGCAGCATTTCCCTTTGCCTCGGTGGATGGACAACGCCAGCTTTCGCCGATCAGGTCACACAAAGCTCGCCAGCAAAACAAAGTTGTCGCAAATTCCATCGCCAGACCACATCCAACTGCCAAAACCGTGACTTTCAACGAAATGCCTGCGTCGGTAAGAGGTGACTCCTAACAGCTCTTAACTACTGAAACGACACAAAGGAACAGAGAGGAGCAATCAACAAAAGGCAAAAGACAAAGCACAAAACAAGAGAAGCCTGAGTTTGATAGAGCACTGATCACTTACGCTAGCAGCAAGAAGCAAACCATTTACAATATTAGCGATGAAAGGATTGAATAATACTTGCCATGTAATAACAAAACCCCTTCAGTCATCTCTTCTCTTGTGATATTCTGGAAAGAAGAAAAGAAACGCTCGCATTGTGTGAGATGGTTATATTACAAGCACACATGACAGCGTCAGATTCCCATTCTTATCGCTCTGCAAGGCGCCTTCTTTGCAGCATTCCCAAGGGACCAAGACATGAATGGCATGGAGGGCATGCCGCACAGTGGCTTGGCGTGCAGGTTGCAGTGCAGGCAGAGGGTGCGTGGGGTGAAGCAGCTAGCGTGTGGCTCTGGGCTTGCAGAGGAACTGCAGAGGGACGGCACAGAGGAGTGGGGAGGATGAGGAGAGTGAGGTGAGTGAGGAGGATGAGGGGCGTGCGAGAGTGCAGAGGATGAGGGGCGTGCGGGAGTGCAGAGGATGAGGGGCGTGCGGGGGATGAGGGGAGTGCATAGGATTGGGGGAGTGAAGAGGTCAAGGGGAGTGAAGAGGTCAAGGGGAGTGAAGAGGTCAAGGGGAGTGAAGAGGTCAACTAATTGGTGAAGCCATCCTGAGCGCACTCACGGGCGCGGGCGGCAATCTCAGCCACGAGCGTGCAGCGCTTGCGATCGTCATGTTGGAGGTCCTTCTCCCTGTCCGGTGGGCGGGGGACCTTCAGAGGATGTGATACACATCTTAAAAGCTGCTCAACCCGCTCAACTCACCTTACTGCTGAAGCCATCTTGAGCGCACTCGCGCGCGCGGGCAGCAATCTCAGCCACGAGTGTGCAGTGCAGCGCGCGCGGGTCGTCAGGAGGGATGTCGTTCTCCTTGTCGGCGGGCAGGCACCTGATGAAACGACTCTCTAGACAGCTCAACTTATTGCTGAAGCCGTCTTGAGCGCACTCGCGCGCGCGGGCAGCAATCTCAGCCACGAGTGAGCAGCGCGCGCGGTCGTCAGGAGTGATGTCGTTCTCCTTGTCGGCGGGCGGGTGTCTTTGAGAGGATGTGCTACACCTGCTTTCACAAGCTCACCTGCTTTCAGAAGCTCACCTGCTTTCACAAGCTCACCTGCTTTCACAAGCTCACCTGCTTTCACAAGCTCACCTGCTTTCAGAAGCTCACCTGCTTTCACAAGCTCACCTGCTTTCACAAGCTCACCTGCTTTCAGAAGCTCACCTTGTTGGTGAATCCCTCTTGCGCACATTCCCGAGCTCGTGCGGCAATCTCAGCCACGAGTGTGCAGCGCTCGCGGTCGTCAGGAGGGATGTCATTCTCCTGGTCCTTGGGCGGGCGGCAGGCGACGCCCTTGCCGTTGATGGAGCGCACGTGGGCGAAATACATCTCGTCGGTGCTCAGATCCACTCCTCCTGTGCTCGGCTTGTCTGTGCGATGCACGTATAATGCCTCCACCTGCAGACAGCATTACGCATGGAGTGAGACAATGTTTTAGGCGACTCAGAAGGCACGTCTACCGGGACCACCAGTGGCAGGCAGGCAACGCCCTTGCCGGTGATGGAGCGCACCCGTGGGCGAAATACATCTCATCGGTGCTCAGATCAGGTCCACCCCCCTGGTGCTTTGGCTTGTCTGTGTGCGATGCACATAGACAGACCGGCTCCACCTGCATTAATAAAGATGATGTCACGGGGTGAGGCAAGCATGGCACATTAGAAGTTGATGGAGCGCACCCGTGGGCAAAGTGCATGTCGTCGGTATGTCCCACCCACTCAGAGACCCACGCCTCACATGCTCGGCTACGTGTATTTTGAGTCGACTCGTTTCAGCCAACAATGGCCTTCATCAGCACGTGGGCAAAGTGCATGTCGTCGGTATGTCCCACTCAGAGACCCACGCCTCACATGCTCGCCTTGTCGGTCCGGTGCACACACACTGCTTCCACCTGTCACGGAATAAAACCACAACAGGCGACGTCCTTGCGGTTCGTTGATGGAGCGCACACGTGGGCGATATTGAAATCACGTGGGTTCGTTGATGGAGCGCACACGTGGCCGAAGTACATCCCATCGGTGCTCAGGTCCACCCACCCCGCCGGTGCTCGCCTTGTGTGTCTTGTGGACGTAGACTGCCTCCACCATCTGCAACAAGCAGCCACGAAGACGAAGCACGCGAGTTTTTGGGGGCGAGTAGACTTTTGACTCGACTCGAAAGTCGTCTCGTCGGTACTCAGGTCTACTCTACTCCACTCCACCCGAGCTGGGTTTGTCCGTGCGATGAACATACACCGCCTCCACCTGCAATGAGTAAATGATGGCACCAAGTGAGACAATTCTTGAGGGCTCATAAGGAGCAGGCGCCGCCCTTGCTGTTGATGGAGCGCACATGAGCAAAGTACATCTCATCGGTGCTCAGATCCACGCCTCCCGTGCTCGGCTTGTCGGTCCGATGCACATAGACCGCCTCCACCTGCACCAAGCAGTCAAACACGGAGTAAGTGGGTTGAGGCAAGTATTGAGGCGCCTCAAACTATCAGGCACACCAAAGGGGGCGGCAGGCAATGCCGTTGCCATTGATGGAGCGCACGTGAGCAAAGTACATGTCATCGGTGCTCAGGTCTACTCCGCCCGTGCTTGGCTTGTCTGTCCGATCCGATGCACATATACCGCCTCCACCACCTTTACCACACCTCTACCACCACTACCACCACCAGCAAGGCACACCTTATGTGGATTGACCAGCATCCCGCAGTGGCCACAGTAGTCGATGCACACCTTGGGATCATCCTCCCATTCACTTTTGAGAATTCTCAAAAGTGATTTCAATATAGCTCACTCACTCAAATTCATCACCATCAGCACCATCAGCACAACGCATCTTTCGCGGGTTGACAAACATCGTGCGGTGGCCATAGTAGTCGATGCACACCTTGGAATCATCCTCCCCCCGAAGGCAGTAACTACAAGCAGCAAGGTTGACGCAGCAGCACCACCACCACTACCACCAGTGAGGTGACACACACCTTTCGCGGGTTGACAAACATCTTCCTGTGCCCGTAGTAACCGATGCACACCTTGGGATCATCCTACCACCACCACACTCCACCACTCTGCACCATTACCATCAACAGCAGCACGACGCACCTTGCGGGGGTTGACAAACATCTTCCTGTGCCCGTAGTAATCGATGCACACCTTGGGATCATCCTCCCCCCGAAGACCACCTTGGGATAATCCTACCACCACCACTCTCCACCACTCTGCACCACTACCATCAACAGCAGCACGACGCACCTTGCGGGGGTTGACAAACATCTTTCTGTGCCCGTAGTAGTCGACGCACACCTTGGGATCATCCTCCCCCCGAAGGCAATACGGGTTTTTCCGCCGCTGCAGCATTCTCTCAACCGCAAACCGCTTCTCCTCCTCGCCCCACACGTCCTCCGGCCCGTCCTCCTCGCATATGTGCGCCGAGAACACACTAGAAGCAGGAAAAGCAGCAGCACCACTACCAGCACCACCATTAGAACCAAGCGCGACGCACCTTGCGCGGGTTGACAAACATCTTGCGGTGGCCGAAGTAGTCGATGCACACCTTGGGATCATCCTCCCCTCTTAGACAGTACGGGTTTTTCCGCCGCTGCAGCATTCTCTCAACCGCAAACCGCTTCTCCTCCTCGCCCCACACGTCCTCCGGCCCGTCCTCCTCGCATATGTGCGCCGAGAACACACTAGAAGCAGGAAAAGCAGCAGCACCACTACCAGCACCACCATTAGAACCAAGCGCGACGCACCTTGCGCGGGTTGACAAACATCTTGCGGTGGCCGAAGTAGTCGATGCACACCTTGGGATCATCCTCCCCTCTTAGACAGTACGGGTTTTTCCGCCGCTGCAGCATTCTCTCAACCGCAAACCGCTTCTCCTCCTCGCCCCACACGTCCTCCGGCCCGTCCTCCTCGCATATGTGCGCCGACAACACACTAGAAGCAGGAAAAGCAGCAGCACCACTACCAGCACCACCATTAGAACCAAGCACGACGCACCTTGCGCGGGTTGACAAACATCTTGCGGTGCCCGTAGTAGTCGACGCACACCTTGGGATCATCCTCCCCCCGAAGGCAATACGTTTTTTTTTCCGCCGCTGCAGCATTCTCTCAACCGCAAACCGCTTCTCCTCCTCGCTCCACACGTCCTCCGGCCCGTCCTCCTCGCATATGTGCGCCGAGAACACACTAGAAGCAGGAAAAGTAGCAGCACCACTACCAGCACCACCATTAGAACCAAGCGCGACGCACCTTGCGCGGGTTGACAAACATCTTGCGGTGGCCGAAGTAGTCGATGCACACCTTGGGATCATCCTCCCCTCTTAGACAGTATGGGTTTTTTCCGCCGCTGCAGCATTCTCTCAACCGCAAACCGCTTCTCCTCCTCGCCCCACACGTCCTCCGGCCCGTCCTCCTCGCATATGTGCGCCGAGAACACACTAGAAGCAGGAAAAGTAGCAGCACCACTACCAGCACCACCATTAGAACCAAGCGCGACGCACCTTGCGCGGGTTGACAAATATCTTGCGGTGGCCGAAGTAGTCGATGCACACCTTGGGATCATCCTCCCCTCTTAGACAGTATGGGTTTTTCCGCCGCTGCAGCATTCTCTCAACCGCAAACCGCTTCTCCTCCTCGCCCCACACGTCCTCCGGCCCGTCCTCCTCGCATATGTGCGCCGAGAACACGTACGTGCCGAGGGTGATGTACGGGAGGGATTCGAAGCGGTGGAGGAAGGTTGGGAGGGTTGCTGGTGGCGGCACGACGAGGTACTCGTCTAGGTCATGGAAGGCGATCCATTCGGCCTGTGTGCGCATGCGGTACATGCAGTCATGCATCGCCACTGCCTGAGTGGGTGTTGTGGTGAAGGGGAGAAAGGTGGTGAAGGGGAGAAAGGTGGTGAAGGGGAAGGGAGAGGGGGAGGAGGGGAAAGGGGAGGAGGGAGGGAGGGGAGCAGGGGCGAGAGAGGGCAAAATGGGGGAAGGAGGCAGGGGGCGAGGAAATCACTTTTGAGAATTCTCAAAAGGAAATCACTTTTGAGAATTCTCAAAAGGAAATCACTTTTGAGAATTCTCAAAAGGAAATCACTTTTGAGAATTCTCAAAAGGAAATCACTTTTGAGAATTCTCAAAAGGAAATCACTTTTGAGAATTCTCAAAAGGAAATCACTTTTGAGAATTCTCAAAAGGAAATCACTTTTGAGAATGGGGGAAGGAGGCAGGGGGCGAGGGGATGGGTGGGCTTGTTTGAGGCACTGGAGTAGAGTTGGGAGCAACAAGGGTGGTTGGTTGCATGACGAGGTACTCGTCTAGATCGTGGAAGGCGATCCAGTCGGCCTGTGTGCGCATGCGGTACATGCATGCAGTCATGCATCGCCACTGCCTGGAAGGAAAGAGGGAAGGGTGGGTGGGGTGGTTTGAGGTGCCTCATATGTATTTGGATTGCACGCAGTGTCGTTTGTGCATCGCATTGCAGTCATGGAAGGCTACCCAGTTGGCCTGTGTGCGCATGCGGTGCATGCAGTCATGCATCGCCACTGCCAGTTGGGGAGTGGGAGAAGGTGGGGGAGGGGAGAGGGAGGGGTTGGCAGGAGGGTAGGAGCAGGGAGGGTCGCAGCAGAGGGGTAGGAGCAGGCGGGTAGGCGGCTTTTAAAGATTCAGAAAAACACAGCGCACCTGGGAGTAGAAGCAGACATTGAACTGGAAGGCCAGAGTGAACTCGTAGACAGTGTGTTGTTGGATTTTTTTATGGCAGGCGAGGTGGCTACTGAGAGATTTGAAGAGCAGCGTACCTGGGAGGAGGCAACGCAGCACAGTGCATGAGGGAGGCGTTTGTACCCAGGAAACAACCTGCACGGAGGCAACGCAATGCACCTGTGAAGAGGCAACGCACCTGGCACTAGTGGGCATACCTGGGAGTAGAACCAGGCGTCAAACTGGTACGACTGGGTGAAGTCCGAGACGGTGACGAGCCCGTCGTCCAGCATGGGCTGTAGCGAAGCCATGAGCGACGGGGCCAGCCCGACAGTGTCGTAGAAGACAAAGTGGTCGTAGCCGCCCGCGTAGCGGTGGTAGTGGATGAACTGGATAACGCTGCGCTCTGCTAGCTCAGCGTAGAGCGTTGAGCCACAGTATGCCATGCGCCAGGGGAGTGGACCCTCTGGTCCCTTGAGACTCTGGGTTGGGGGGTGGGGAGGGAGAGATGGAGAGAGGGAAGGAGGGAGGGAGGGAAAGAAGCAGCCCAGCAGTGTCGTAAAAGACTAAGTGGTCATAGCCGCCAGCGGTGGTAGTGGATGAACTGGATAACGCTGCGCTCTGCCAGTTCAGCGTAAAGCGTGGAGCCACGGTAGGCCATGCGCCAGGGCAGTGGGCCCTCTGCTGCCTTGAGACTCTGGCTTGGGGGGAGGGGTGGTAGCAAGGGAGGGAGGGATATGTGGTGGTAGTGGATGAACTGCACCACACTGCACCACACTGCACCACACTGCACCACACTGCACCACACTGCACCACACTGCACCACACTGCACCACACTGCACCACACTGCACCACACTGCACCACACTGCACCACACTGCACCACACTGCACCACACTGCGCTCTGCTAGCTAGTGTGGCGTACAATGTTGAACCGGGGTACGCCAGGTGGCGGGGCAGCGGGCCCTCCGGTCGCTTGAGACTCTGGGATAAGGATGGGAGGGGGGTAGCGGTGGTAATGGATGAACTACACCACACTGCGCCAGGTACCGTTCCCATCCGTCCTCACCTCCTTCCCACCCTCCCTCACCTCCTTCCCACCCTCCCTCGCCTCCTTCCCACCCTCCCTCACCTCCTTCCCATCCTCCCTCACCTCCTTCCCATCCTCCCTCACCTCCTTCCCATCTTCCCTCACCTCCTTCCCATCCTCCCTCACCTCCTTCCCACCCTCCCTCACCTCCTTCCCATCCTCCCTCACCTCCTTCCCATCCTCCCTCACCTCCTTCCCATCCTCCCTCACCTCCTTCCCATCCTCCCTCACCTCCTTCCCATCCTCCCTCACCTCCTTCCCATCCTCCCTCACCTCCTTCCCACCCTCCCTCACCTCCTTCCCACCCTCCCTCACCTCCTTCCCACCCTCCCTCACCTCCTTCCCACCCTCCCTCACCTCCTTCCCATCCTCCCTCACCTCCTTCCCATCCTCCCTCACCTCCTTCCCACCCTCCCTCACCTCCTTCCCACCCTCCCTCACCTCCTTCCCATCCTCCCTCACCTCCTTCCCATCCTCCCTCACCTCCTTCCCACCCTCCCTCACCTCCTTCCCATCCTCCCTCACCTCCTTCCCATCCTCCCTCACCTCCTTCCCACCCTCCCTCACCTCCTTCCCATCCTCCCTCACCTCCTTCCCACCCTCCCTCACCTCCTTCCCATCCTCCCTCACCTCCTTCCCATCCTCCCTCACCTCCTTCCCATCCTCCCTCACCTCCTTCCCACCCTCCCTCACCTCCTTCCCACCCTCCCTCAGCTCCTTCCCATCCTCCCTCACCTCCTTCCCATCCTCCCTCACCTCCTTCCCATCCTCCCTCACCTCCTTCCCATCCTCCCACACCTCCTTCCCACCCTCCCTCACCTCTTTGACATCTTCCCGGTAAGGGTAGAGCATTTGGCGGTCCAGGTAGATCCGCAGATGCCCTCCCGTCTCCTCCACCTCTTCTTCAAGCGTGCACTGCAGCACCACCATCTCGTACTGCATACAGGGTACAGCACCCCACCACACCACACCAAACCACACCACACCACACCACACCACACCACACCATACCACTCCACACCACACCGCATCACACCACGAAACAAAGACACACAGACCAGTAGCAGCACAGTAGCCGCACAGCAGCAGAACACACAGGGGCGAGAGGAATCATTAGGCAGTGAAAGCGTTCCACCACCACTCTGGCACCCGTTGATCAAACGAGTCTGAATCGATTGATCAAGAACTATGGCAGGCGGCCTTACATGCAAATAGAAATGGGTAAAAAAGGATGGGAAAGGAGTTGGAAAGAAAAAGGATAAGATGCAGATCCAAACAGTACCAAGAAGTTCTGATGTTCCTCCATCACCTTGCCAGCGATCACGGTGTGCCTATCCATCTGGTGCTACCAGCACCCCTCCTCCAACCGCCGCTTGGTTTTTGTGAGCTCATAGTTTACCGTATTTCTACTCACCTCCTATCCACAACCCACAACCCACCAGGAAGTTGTGGTGCTCCTCCATCACCATCTGTGTGAGCTTCTCAGCGATCACAGTGTGCCCATCCATCATGTGCCACCAGCACAGCACCCTGATACACACACACCTGATTTAAAGCACCGCCCATCCCACAACCCACAACCCACCAGGAAGTTGTGGTGCTCCTCCATCACCATCTGTGTGAGCTTGCCGGCAATCACCGTGTGCCCGTCCATCCGGTGCCACCAGCACCCCTCTGTGTGCCGGTAGTGTCATAATTTGCCTTGTTCTATCACCATTCACCCCCCAACCCACCAGGAAGTTGTGGTGTTCCTCCATCACCATCTGTGTGAGCTTCCCAGCGATCACCGTGTGCCCATCCATCCGGTGCCACCAGCACCCCTCCACCCGCCGCTTGCTGCGCTGCGCCAGTGCCCCCAGCCCCACCACCACGATGCGTGCCGGTTCTAATCGGTACGCACTGCTTGCAGAGGGGTGGGGAGAGGTGAGGGGGGATGGGTGGGTGGGGAGATATGAGAAGCCTAGAAGCCGCTTGCTGCGTTGGGACAGCGCGCCCAGCCCCACCAGCACGATGCGCGCCGGTTCCAACCAGTACACGCTGCAAAAAGAGGGGTTAGAGGGGGGGGGGGGGGGGGGAGAGATGAGGGAGTGGGGTGGGGTGGGAGAGAGTGGGGGGCACGATGGGTGCCGGTTCCAACAGGTACGCACTGCTTGCAGGGAAGGGGGTAGGGGAGAGAGGCAGGAGAGGAGGCGGGGGGGGGGGAATGCGGGGTAGGGGGAAGTGGGGGAGAGGGGGATGGCGGGGTGTGGGGCAGGGGAGCCACAGCCTCGAGAGGGTTCATCCTAGGTCGCACCACCCTGCTGCCAGGGAGAGAGGGGAGCATCAGTGGGAGCATCAGTGGGAGCATCAGTGGGAGCACCTATATCTTGCCCCTCACCCGTCTGACAGTGAACGAGCCACAGCCTGGACCAAAACTGGCTGTGGCTGTGGCTGTGGCTGTGGCTCGCCCATTAGGTGTCTTCCTTCATGGTGCCGTGCGTGCTGCCCCCCCCCCTCACCGTCAGCCATGAAGACGGGCGAGCAGCAGTTAGAAAGATACTTTTAGCAAGAGAAAGACAGTGATACTAGCACTGATGAAGGCTTGACGTGGGGCCTGTCCCAGTCAGCCGAAACTGGTTTGCGTTTTAATCTCTATTGTGGGCTTGAAAGTTCGGATTACCAGAGTTCTTGGCACTTAAGCAGGGTACAACACACAGAGAGTATCACTGTCTTTCTTTTGCTAAAAGTGCCGTGCATGCTGCCCTGCCCCCCCCCCCCTCACCTGTACTGGATGAAGCCGTAGGCGCCAGAGCGGTGGAAAGTGTGTTGCCGCCAGCGGGAGGGGTCGTCGTCCAACACCACCATCTTGCCGCGAGGGCGCTTGGGGAGGTCCCCTGCTCCTGCTGCCACCTGCTCTGCTGCCTGTGGGTGTGCATGTACGCGTGCACGTGTGCACAGAGGATTGGGTGTGCATGCGTGGATGCATGTTCGAGGGTGGAGGGAGGGAGGGCGGGTGGAATGGATGACCTTGAGATCACACCCATGCACCTCCAGCATGTTTTTTTGAGAATTCTCAAAAAACATACTCGGTCGAGGGTGGAGGGAGGGCGGGTGGATGGAATGGAATGACCTTGAGAGCACCCATGCACCCATCCATCTTGCCCCTCGGCCGATTTTTGAGTCGACCCGAAAATTGACTCATCACGCAGGGCGGGTGGAATGAATGACCTAGAGAGCACACCCATGCACATCCAGCAAGCACCACCATCTTGCCGCGAGGGCGCTTGGGGAGGTCCCCTGCTGCTGCTGCCACCTGCTCTGCTGCCTGTGTGTGCATGTGTATGAGTATGCATGTATGTATGCAGGCATGCACATGCGGTATGGATGGATCATCCTCTGAGGCGCCTCAGACGTCCAACTTGTGGCTCTATCAAGAGGGAGGGGTCACCGTCCAGCACCACTGTCTTTTGAGGCGCCTCAAAAGACACTGCCACGTGGATTCATGGCTCCAACTTGTGGTTCTATCAAATCAAGAGGGAGGGGTCGTCGCGTCGTCCAACACCACCATCTTGCCGCGAGGGCGCTTAGGGAGCTCCCCTGCTGCTGCTGCTGCCACCTGCTCCGCTGCCTGTGTGTGCATGTACGCATGCACGTGTGCACAGAAAATTCGATTAAGCAAGCAGACAGCTGCAGGTGGCATCCCATAAGTCCTCCCACACACTGCACTGCACTGCACTCACCACCCTTTGACCGCACCGCACCGCACCGCACCACACCCACCTTAAGAGCCGCAATTTCCGCCGCCTGTTTTCGCATGCCAGCTGTCAGACGCTCCACCGTTTCATTCAGCTGCGCCGCCCGCTGCTCCGCGTCCCGGGCGCGCGCCTCCAGCACCACCGCCCAGTCGCCGCCCAAGTCCGCCGTTCCGTTGCCGTCCGCCGTCCCGTTGCTGCCGCCCGCCTTGGCTCTGGCGCGCTGCAGCGCGTGCACGGTCTCTACTTGCCCGCCCAGCCGCCCCACCTCCTCCCTCACCACTCCAGTTACATTTTCCGCTGCAATCCGTGCCACGTATTCTGCGGGGAGGGGGAGGGGGAAGAACGGGGGGGGGGGCCACGTTCTGGCCTTGGCTCTGGCGCGCTGCAGCGCGTGCGCACTCTGCTGCGATTCGTGCCACGTACTCTGAAAAGGAAGAGGGGAGAGGGGGCGCAGGCAGGGAGGCAGGGGAGAGGGGGAAGAGGTAGAGGTGTTGAGTTGAGCCAAAGGGGCCACCCAGCCGCCCCACCCACCCACTCCCTCACCACCCCCGTCACGTTCTCTGCTGCAATTCGTGCCACGTACTCTGAAAAGGAAAGGGAGAGAGAGAGAGGAGGAGCAGGTAAGGGCGCGAATAGAATAATGAGTCAACTCACAAGTCTCCTCCGCCTGCCCGCCCACCTGGCCCACCTCCTCCGCACCACCACTGCCACGCGTTCTGCTGCCATTCACGCCAGGTGGTCTTGGGGAAGGGGGGGACGGAGGCAGGGGGGCTCCGCAGGCAGGGGGAAGGAGCAGGGGGGCGGAGGCGTGGGGGAAAAGGCGGGGGGAGGGAGGGCGCAGCAGGCATGGACGTGGAGGCAGTGGGGCGGAGGGGGGTGCCCAGAGGCAGAAAGGCGGATGCGATGCAGGGGGCGGAAAGGGACGGAGGTTGGGGGGTTGAGACGTGGGGGCGGAAGGGGGGGGCGGAGAGGGGGGGCGGAGACAGGAGGGGAGGAGGAGGCAGGGGAAATAGAGAAGGACGGATAGAGTAAGAGAGGCAGGAGAGAAGGGGAAAAGAGAGGTCGGAGAGAGGGGGAAGAAAGGGGGATGAGGGGTTAGTCAGAGAAAGGGAGGTTGGCAAAAAGGAAAAGGAGGAACTTAGAGGAAAGGAGGTACATGGGCGTGAGGGAATGGGAGAAGAAAAGCATAATGGGAAGTATTGGAGGGGATGGGAGCATGGAGGGGATGGGAGCATGGAGGGGATGGGAGCATGGAGGGAGGGGAAGCATGGAGGGAGGGGAAGCATGGAGGGAGGGGAAGCATGGAGGGAGGGGAAGCATGGAGGGAGGGGAAGCATGGAGGGAGGGGAAGCATGGAGGGAGGGGAAGCATGGAAAATGGGAGAGAGTGGAAAGAGTGGACTGGGAGGAGTGGAACAGCGAACGGACCTTCAATCGTCTTGAGTCGCGAGTCAAGGTCAGCTGTTGGCTTCCTCCCCGCCCACAAGTGTTGCTGCCACGTCACACGCCACGTCACATGCCAGGTCACACGCCAGGTCACATGCCACGTCAGGTGCCACGTCATGCCACACCACACCGTGCCATGCCATGGCAAAGGCAAGAGATGTAGGTGTTAATTCCAGACATGAGAGCAGAACATGCGAGCGGCGCACAGGGGGTGCATGAGAGGGAGCAAAACAAGAGAGCAGTACGGCGCACCTGGTGAAGGGCGCACCTGGTGAAGGGCGCACCTGGTGAAGGGCGCACCTGGTGAAGGGCGCACCTGGTGAAGGGCACACCTGGTGCAGGGCGCACCTGGTGAAGGGCGCACCTGGTGCAGGGCGCACCTGGTGAAGGGCGCACCTGGTGAAGGGCGCACCTGGTGAAGGGCGCACCTGGTGCAGGGCGCACCTGGTGCAGGGCACACCTGGTGCAGGGCACACCTGGTGCAGGGCGCACCTGGTGCAGGGCGCACCTGGTGAATGAGAGGGAGCAGAGCGCACCTGGTGCATGGCGAGGAGAGAGAGGACGGCAGTGATGAGACAGCCTGTCGATATACCCTGCCACGTGGCAGAAGCATGGGGCAAACCCGCATGGGGCGATACAGCACATGTTGGTATGGCATATGTTGGTACGGCACGTTTCGGTATGGCATGGGGCGATACGACTGGGGGCCATACGACAGGAGGCGATACGACAGGGGGCCATACGACAGGAGGCGATACGACAGGGGGCCATACGACAGGAGGCGATACGACAGGGGGCGATACGACAGGAGGCGATACAACAGGGGGCGATACGACAGGGGGCCATACGACAGGAGACGATACGACAGGGGGCGATACGACAGGAGGCGATACGACAGGAGGCGATACGACAGGAGGCGATACAACAGGTGGCCATACGACAGGAGGCGATACGACAGGGGGCCATACGACAGGAAGCGATACGACAGGGGGCCATACGACAGGAGGCGATACGACAGGGGGCGATACGACAGGAGGCGATACAACAGGGGGCGATACGACAGGGGGCCATACGACAGGAGACGATACGACAGGGGGCGATACGACAGGAGGCGATACGACAGGAGGCGATACGACAGGAGGCGATACAACAGGGGGCCATACGACAGGAGGCCATGCGGCAGGAGGCGATACGACAGGGGGCCATACGACAGGAGGCGATACAACAGGGGGCCATACGACAGGAGGCCATGCGGCAGGAGGCGATGCGGCAGGCATGGGGCGATGCGGCAGGCATGGGGCGATCGAATGAATGCGGCTATCGACATCGACATCATCACTGCACAAACAGTATCAAATGAAGCTGTTGATTCAGACAAAATCGACGGTTGAGATCTAAAGGGGATCAATTACGCCAACGTATGAGAGCAACAAGAGCGGCCATCCGAGTCGGCAACAAGCTGCCCCCTATCTCCCCCTGTCTGCCCCCTTTAGCTGTCAAAATCCGCTTCCCCTATCTCCCCCCCCTCTTCCCCCCCTCCCCTTCCCTTCTCTCCTTCCCCCCCCTCCTTCCCCCGCCCCCACACTCGCCTCCTCCCACAAACGTGAATTCTACGGAGTGACTTTTGAGTCATTTCCCTTTCTTCCTTCTGGGCTCCCCTCCCCCGGCCCCCCTCCCCTCCCCACCCTCCCCCTCACCCCCTCCAAGTGTGAGTCTTTGCGCACTCAGGATTCGGAGCGCGCGCGCAGCTGCCGAAGCAGGGGCAACACGGTTCACAATAGATGGATTCTGAAGCTGACTAAGAAAGAAAGAAAAAAAACTCATTTCAGAGCCTGGGTCATCTCAGAACTCATTTTTGAACACACGTGACGAGTCTCAGGAGGCTCACAATCGCCAGCTGTCGAGTTATCATCCCCGCGCCGCCGGCTGCCCACTGACGGATGTCGCCCTGTCCCTTCATCGACGGGATGATGCTCTCTGCCGGCCGTCATGCACTACTTGCCGGCCGTCATGCACTACTTGCCGGCCGTCGTTCACTACTTGCCGGCCGTCGTTCACTACTTGCCGGCCGTCGTTCACTACTATCGCGCGAATAGCAGCTTCAGAAGAACGCGCCGCGAGAGCTGCACGGCCGGTGGGAGAGGGAAAGCGGCGCACAGAACGAAAGGGCGACGCGGCGAGCGCGGCGCGAGAAGTTTTAACGAGAGGCGACGTCACCTCAAAACAATGGTGTGGCCAAAACGCGCCTCGGAAGTGCGCAGGAGCGAGTGCTGGCCCCGTGCCGCGGCGCAGGGAAAGTAGTATCTACAAGGGCGCTGTGAAGTGCGATGTGCTAGAAGGGTTTGCAGAACTATGCGCCTCGGTAGTGCGCAGGAGCGAGTGCTGGGCCTGTGCGGTACTGGGAGGAGAGTATATCTGCGCTATATGGGCTTGCAGAATGGGCTATAAGGGCGACGTCAGTGTCGCGCACGACGGTCGGTTGAGATGAGAACATTGCGCTATAACGCGGATGTCGTCGTGTCGTCCATGGACGTCATCTTCGAGGCCGGCTTTGTTTTGGAAGGGAAGGACCAAGCCTGGGCATTCGCTATCGACGACAACACTGTACACTGTACAATATTATGTACGGATTTCAAACAGATATGCACATTGCGAAACAGGGCTAAGCAGTTCTGCACAGTGCGGTTCAGGTCCTCCGAAATAGGCGCCGAGGGTTCTTTTAATCTGATGTTATGCCGGCGATGTGTTGAAGTCGAATCAACGCTACGAAGCGAACAACAAACTTCAACAACAACCCGCCACTCCCCTTTCGCTAACGACAGCGGCGGGACCGCTTTATCCATATGTACGGTATGGATGCTGTTGAACAGCGCAACTGCCATGCAACGAAACCAACACAAAACTGGCTGATAGGTAGGAGGAAGGACGGAAACAGCCGCATCGCGAACCGCGATAAGATGCTGTTATTCGTGAATCGTGGGCAGAGTGCCAGAGGAAACGAGCATTCCACAGGGTGATCGGTATTACATGGTTACCTGTGCTTGCGACACACTCGTCGCAGGAATAATCGAAAAGGTGCTGTAACGAAAGCTGACGGATGTCGTCAGATTTCCTTTTGTGTACAGCATCAGCTGTCGCTCCTGTATGCAGTCGCAGAGATCAGCAATTTGAAGTTGTTTATCGCTGTCAGTTATCACATAAGTGAATCGTGACGAACTGTCTCCTTACAACTAAAGCTGGTCAGAATTTCACTGTGAATTGTCACCCACTATCAAATTCTGGTATACCTAGGATAACATAATTATGAGCATAAATGACCAAGACCACACCAATATTCCCCTTGTTCTCAATTATGCTCGCCCTCCATCCCTGTGGTCCAACCCACAGCTCTCGTATGATGCTAAGCATGCATCACCTCGCCCAATAATACAATCAATGAAGGTTTTCCGGCGCCCACGTGTGTACGTACATCAGCATCGTCATTTCTCTAATACCGTCCCCCTCCGCCACCACCGCCACCACCTCGACTGCTATACCCACCACCTCCCCCACCACCTCCCCCTCCTTGATACCCATGATGCTCCTGTTGCCTGTATGCCCCTCCCCCTCCTTTAGACGACCTTGGAGGCGCCTCCTCCTCCTCATACTCATCATAACCTCCCCTCCCTCCCCCTCCACCTCCCCCACCACCCCTCCCCCCATGCTCCCTGCCATAGTCCCTACCCCTATCATCATACCCATCATCCCTCCCATAATCCCCTCCCCCTCTCCCCCCGCCCCCTCCTTGCCCGCCGTGTGCTGCCCTGCTGCCAGAGCCGTGGGAGTGGCTGTCGTGGGGTTCCCCGCCACCCGATGCTGCTGGGGCGTCTGTGTTTTGTTGGGAAAAAGAAAGGGATTGGGAAGGGGAGAGAAGGTGAGCTGCTGCCCTGCTGCCAGAGCAGTGGGAGTGGATGTCGTGGGGGTCCCCGCCACCCGATGCAGCTGACGCGTCTGTATGGGTGTGGGGGGGGGGGGAACAGGGGGGGAAGAAGGGGGAAGTAGAGGTCGGGGAAGAGAGGGCGGAGGATTATGGGAGGCGAGATGTATTGAGTGCAACAGATGATGTCCACAGGAAGTGAAGAGGGTGACTGTAGTGTGATGCTGCTCTGCTGCCTGACCTGCTTTCCAAAGGAAGTTGAAGCGGGTTACCTGCAAAGAGGGAGTTGAGGCCAGGCTTCTTGCCCTTGCTCTTCTTCTTCAGCTCCAATGCACCACCTGCCAGAAAATGCACGATCATGGCCCGATGCAGAGCACAAACAGTTAAACAGCTGGATAGACTAGAGAGAAACAGAACATGACGGTGAGTCGGCTTTTGAGGCGTGCTAAAAATCAAACATTCATTTCTTTTTGCTCCGAAAGGCGCACCCGGAAAGGAGGCTAGGGATCGGCAACATAAGACAGGAAGCTGGAAGAGGCATGCATGGACGGATGATTTATGGCCAGAGCTTAGGCATTAGAGGGCATCACTTCCAAATCTACTCACCAAGGGGATAACTTTTGAGTCGACTCAAAAGCCAACTCGACTCAGAAGTCAACTTTTGAGTCGACTCAAAAGTCAACCCAGAGCTTAGGCATTAGGGGGCATCCCTTCCAAATCTACTCACCAAGGGGAGAATGCGTTTCCTGCACTATCTCCATGTTGCGGTAGGTGTAACCAACAAAGTTGATGTCCTTGGATGGCAGCATCTGGAATTCGTGCAAAGGGGTTTTGGGGGGGGGGGGGGCGGGGGAGGGAGGGAGGGAGCAGGGAGAGGAAAGGAGGGAAATGGGACAGGAAGGGCAAGGAAAGGGGTGAGTATGTCCGTTTCCTGCACAAAACTCCATGTTGCGGTAGGTGTAGCCAACGATGTTGATGTCCTTGGATGGCAGCATGTAGGATTCATCCAAAGGTGGAGGAGGGCAGGGATAGGGATGGGAAGAAAAGTGACAAGGAGGGCAAGGGAAAGAGTGAGAGTGTGTCTCGGGATTTCCATGTTGCGGTAGCCAACGAAGTTGATGTCCTTTGATGGCAGCATCTGGGTTGAGACGAGAATGTGGGGAGCGAATGGAAGAGATGGGACGAGTGCAAGGGCAGGAGTAAGCGTGTCTCATGCGCGATTTACATCTTCTGGTAGGTGTAGCTAATAGACAGAATCATTATGCTTCCTAAGACGGCGGCACTTGGAACTCCTGCGCTGCTGAGTCGGCACCTGAGCTGTGAGGCTGTCTGATACATGTACCCCTCAACACCCAACAACTTGGATGCATGCACGTGCCACTGACTCACTTAATCCGACTCACCTTCTTCCAGGAGCCTGACTTCTGCAATCCACTGGCCTCAGGGACCTGCAGAGGCGGGACTGCTGTGACACGTGCACCTCTCAACATCCAACAACTTGGATGCATGCACGTGCCACTGACTCACTGAATCCGACTCACCTTCTTCCACGGGCCTGACTTCTGCGACCCACTGGCTTCAGGGACCTGCAGAGGCGGGACTGCTGTGACACGTGTACCTCTCAACACCCATCAATTTGGATGCATGCACGTGCCACTGACTCACTGAATCCGACTCACCTTCTTCCAGGAGCCTGACTTCTGCACTCCACTGGCCTCAGGGACCTGCAGAGGCGGGACTGCTGTGACACGTGCACCTCTCAACACCCAACAACTTGGATGCATGCACGTGCCACTGACTCACTGAATCCGACTCACCTTCTTCCACGGGCCTGACTTCTGCGACCCACTGGCCTCAGGGACCTGCAGAGGCGGGACTGCTGTGACACGTGCACCTCTCAACACCCAACAACTTGGATGCATGTATGTGTCACTGACTCTCTGAGCCCGCCACTCACCTTCTTCCACGGGCCTGACTTCTGCGATCCACTGGCCTCAGGGACCTGTGCGGAGGAGGGTGCGGAGCAGCAGGGAGAAAGAGGGGAAGAGAAACAGGGCAAGTGAAAAAGAGAGTAGGAAGGCATGGTGTGGTTGGTTGCCTGGGAACGTAAGAGTCGAATTGCATTATACGCTGCTACGGACGGAACACACAGTGAAAACAGGGCGGGGAGAAGTGCGACCATGCCATGCCATACCAAGCAAGTGTTGGCATGGATATGCCAGTGGTAACAAAGACACTGCGCATGGCCTGTGAGTTCAACACTCGCGCAGTGAGTCCACCGCTCACGTCGTCGAACTTGTTCAAAGCTCGGCTGCTCTCCCCTCCACGAAACTTAGATGTCAACTGACTAAACAAAAGCCAGCGTCCACCACTCACCTCCCACTCACCTCATCAA